TGCCGCCTAGGAGCAGAGCCCCTGGAGAAGCATGTGGTCGAACCCAGGGACACACCTGTGGCGCATTATCTGACTGAGGCTGGGGATATTTAAGAAGCGGCGAGCTGACACTTCCTTGCCTGAGTGTTTGTTTACTCGGTAACAAATCGTTCCAGAGTAAGGCCCTCTGAGCTTTCCCCGAGATAATCGCCTCCTGTGTTTTTTTTCCTCTTATCAGGTTTACCTGGATTCCTCCGGAGTTTTTTCGAGAGAAGAGTTCTGTGGATCGTTTATCCCGGGCCGCGACCAGCCGCCAGCTCGCTCCTCCACTCAGCCTGACTTACCTGTCCGCCCTCCAACGGTTCGTTGCCCTCCAACGGTTCGTTCACGCCGCCCCTGGGTCTTTTCTGCTCCCAAGAGAACTTCCATCTGCTCCTAGTAAGCCTTTTCCCCCCTCAGTATATATATTCATCCACCTCCCTGGATTCGCAGATACTAACCGCTTCCTCTCGTTGACAGTGGCTGAAATGGTTATCCCTTCCAGACTCCTGCTCCGTGTTTTATCCCCAACCCTGTCCCCTTTTTCAATAAACTTAATTATTGTTTTGCACATGCATGTGGGTGCTTAAACTGGAACCCAACATGACACTTTTTAGTTTATACAGAATATAATGATTCATCATCCATGAGTTATATTTGGTGCTTAACTAACAAAACTTAAAAAAAAGAGTATAAACATTTGTATTCTATCAGAAGGTATCGCATACTTTCAACCATTTTGTTCAATTTAAACTCGAGTTAAGCAACTGAATACTGATAAATCATCTGTAGTTTCTTAAGTCCTGTATTGTGATGTGAAACGGTGTCACTACCACTCCAATATAGCATGACTCTGGGTCTTTACAGCAATCGGTGAACATTAACATTTAGTTTGAATATTATTCACAAAAATATTTTCAGTACAATGAACCACTCTGGAACATGTGTTTTTATTATTTTTGTTTAAGTTGTGCAATGATAAATCTTCAGATGGGAGGAATGTCAAAGTAAGATCACATTTAACAAAAGCCTATTGTATGCAATCATGCATATTCTGCTTTTATATCA